TCCATCTTCAGAACCAATCTTCTATCTCATAACATAGGAGGTACTGCAGATCTGCTATATAAATGTTACTAGCAAGTTCTTGAGAGCAAAGAAATCTCCATGGGATTAATCACAGTTCCTGCTTTGGACAGACAATACTGATCCCTCAGGGGTCTATCACGAACACCCGAGAAACACAAAGTATTTGGGTCCTGGCTAGCAGTCAGCTAAATCAACGGTAGGGAACCACCAGCAATAAAACACACATCAGTTCCAACCAGACATATCTCTCCTCTCTCAGCTTCAGTGCACACTGAAGACAGAAATTTCAAGAGAACCCTTTTCCAAGAGACTCCGTAGACCCTGTGCTTCCAGTTTGGCTGCAAACTGCTAGAACAGCATTTTTCCAGCTGGCAATAACCCAAAGTAAAAAGCAAAACATCCAACCCAAAGGCATAGTTCTCCCTTGAAGTATTTGAATAGAAGCCTGTGAATTAATCAGCATCTTAAAGGTACTTTTCAATTTGTTTTTTAATAACATCAGAGAGTTCAGAGACATTATATTTCCTTTCCTCTCAACCAGATTTATCTCTTTACCCCCATAGCATTCTGTCTATGACACAGTTTACTCAATGAAAACTTTTTATATGAAATTCTAAAAATATAGAAATAAGAATCATTTATAATTTTGGGCTCAGTCTGCTTTAATCAGATTTCTGAAAAATGTTTACAGTGTTTTGATAAGAAAAATCAGAGGCAAAACCAAAAACAAGCCAAAAACCATTTCTGATTTTAAAACATGGGGCATTAAGATATGGCATATGATAAAATTTAGTGTATGAATCAAGAGTTTTTCCTCAAAGAGGTTTTATTTTCCCCATTCAATCAATTTTTTTTTCAAGATAAGAACAGAAACAGCATTTCAAGGATGTTCTCAAGGCTGCACTGAAAAAGATCCAAAGACTTCAACTTACAGGAAGCCATTGAAAGAGTTAGCTCAATTGGAAAAGTAATCTACTTCAAGGTTATCAATATTTTATAAATCCAAGACAATAGTAAAAGACATAAATGTAACTTCAATAGAAGCAATGTGATCATGAACCAACTAATAGCCCAAGGTTACCCTTTCTGCCAGAAAATATGTGTCCAATCTATAATAATTTGCCAGCCCAAAAATGTTCTCATCAGTCATCTACAATTACACGGGCATCCAGGGAACTATCTTGAAAAATAGTTATGGGTTTTTCTCCTTTTTCTTCCCCTTCTTCCCATCTTTGATGGCAGCAAGGGGATGTAATGACCAGCACAGCAGCAGCTGTGGTAACCACAGAGAGATATACATGATCAGCAAGATGGCTGAATAGAAAAGACTAATACTAATTTCCCCAACCAAAAAAGACAGAACAACAAATAAATGACTACATAGGCTAGAGTGTCTAAAGAAGAGTACTGGACTACAAGGAAGTAGAGGAAACCTTGTGGATCATAAAAACTCAGGATGGTAGCATAGAGAGGAAAGTGAAATCCCTCTGCCTCTGCCATCCTGTCTCCCCAGTTGAGATTGGGTCAGAGTCAGGAGGCATTTCTCCTTACAAGGAAAAGGTAAGAAGGAGTCCCTCATCAACTCCCATTAACACTGCAGACACCTGCAGGCTTTGCTACAGGAGAATCCTGCAGTCCTCACAGGCCCTAATTCCAGTTTAGGGAGACACCTCAAGTTCACATAACTGCAGTGCTTCAGAGAACAATACCATGTTACGCTTTCCCCAGGCCCCATGATCCAAGCTTCTATGGCATGGCACCATCTTGAATCTGTAGCCACTAC